AACAAAAATCACAGAATCTTAGTGGTTGGAAGGGACCTCTGAGATCATCGAGTCCAACCACAAAAAAAAAAAAAAAAAAAAACCCAACAAAACCAAAAAAAAACAAAATCAGGAAGAAAGACTGCACCAAGAAGCTGGCGAGATAAAGCCCAAGAGTGGAAATGACCCGCCTGGGAAAATGCTACCTTACTTCTCTCACGCTCGGGCGCCCTGTTCTGAGAGTGATTTTGCTGCTGCTGCTTCTTTGGAGGAAAGATCAAATGAAGCAGTTACAGCACATATTCACGCTATAGGCCTTTATGCAATACCTTTTGTATTTTCCCCAAAATGTTCTCTTTTTTTTTTTTTTTTTTGTACAAAAATAGACCATAGTCTCATTAGCAATTAATAAAGTTGGCTGCCTCGGTATAAAATTATAAAAGTCAAAAGCCAGACAGGGCTCAACCTTCCCGGCGTTGGGAGGTGAAGGGGAAGGGGGCAGGCAGCTGGAGAGGCCACTGCAAAAACCTTTACCCTTCCAAAAACCCAAGCAGGTGGAAAAAAAAAAAAATAATAATTGGGTTTTTTTAGGTTGGTTTGGGTTTCTTTTGTGGTTTGGGTTTCTTTTGTGGTTTGGGATATTTTTTTGTGTGGGTTTTGTTGTTGTTTTTATTTTTTTTGTTGTTGTTTTTACATAAAGGATCCACCTCTGCACTGCACCAAGCCCTCAGTGCAGATCCCTGGGGCTGATCCTCATCCCCTCCTACTGACACGACCGCCTGGAGAGCGAGCACACACCGGAGATGACAAAAGCAGGACCAAACCAAGGAGAGCTCTGGGTACGAGGTGTATTTTAACGCGGTGCCATGGGGAGCAGACAGCTTGCATACCAACAGTCGCAGGTGCCAGAGAAGGAGGTAACCTAGCAGCATTCCAGTTCCTCACCATTTGAAGGACAATTTGTAACCCAGCAGACCCGGGCCAGGGGTAATTACACTTCATGCCAAACTTTTAATCCAGGAAAAACTACTGATTCTTAACCTTTGGGAGCTTCGTTCACTTTAGGCAAGTTTTCCCTCAAGTGTCAAAACGCTGGCTTCAAATAAGCAGAATATATTTTTTTTTCTTATTTTTTTCTCTCTTTTTTTTTTGGATTTTTTTTGGGTTTTTTTCGTTTTTTCCTCATTTCTTACATCCTGACATTCAGAGAGGCTAAAACTCAAGAGGACCGTGCCGGGCGTTGGGCTCAGGCACGGACACGACAGATTCGGCATCGTTAAGAAATCCCCAAGTTCTTCAACCAGGAGGAATTAATGCTCGTCTCTGAAAGGAATCTTTAAGTTGTATAAAAGGGAACGTAACGTCCAGGTGACTTTTGTTTTTGTTTTTTTTTTGTTTGTTTCTTTGTTTTTGCCCTACCCAGTCCGGATCAGCGCCAGCTAAAACTGCTGTTGGTCATACTCTGCTATCAGTTTTTTAATGTGAGCCAGTTTGTTGTGGAGGTATTCGCAGCGGTTCTTCTCTTGGCTGTAATTGGGGTTAGTCTGTAAAGAAAAAAAAAAATGAATAATGCAGTGATGGAAGGTAATTCAGAACTCAGTGACACCTACGCTGAACCCAGACGAGGTTATCAGACCTCAGAGTATGAATATACGACCCAAGAATGAAGTTTTTTCAGCCAGAGGAGTAAATGTCCCTTTAAAATGGACTTATTGTGGTCAAAGGAGGCAAAGAATAAAATCCCTTTCCATCAATATCCAGCCTCAGAATGGGGAAAGGGGTGCTCAGCCTGACTGGGAGCAGCTGGGACACAGGCTTGAGCTTCCAACGAGCATCACCTGCCCCCTCGTTAGCACTAAATTGTGCAAGTCTGGGAGCTTTAAGACAAAGACCAGCTTGCAACACACAAGGAATCTCTTCCAAAAAAGCTCCTAAATCCCTCAGGGACAAGAGGGCTCAGGGAGATATTTGTAGATTTGAAAAAACAAACCCACCCACAAACCCTACCTCATCCAGCTAAATCATAAATCCCTCCAGTCAACAACTGCTGCTCTCCATATACATACAGAGATGTAAAGTCTCCTGCGTGCCCCACACACCAAAAAAGCCCCACTGAGCCCCACAGGGGACCACGTACCCCAAGTGACTCAACACTTGGAGACTGAACCCAAATCATCCCCAACATCCCAGCAGAGCCCCAGACCCGGAGCATCCCGGTATCACTCAGCCCCAGCATCTGAAACACAAACTGTCCTTTCCTTGATGGGATAAAGGCACTAATTTAACATGTTTTGTTCTTGCCAAGCCCCTATGGCAGCCTCGACTCCCCCCAAATCTTTTTGGGATCAGGGAAGGATCGTTTTTTTGGGACAAGCTGGAGCTGAACAACGATCTGCCACAAAGCTGCAGAGGCTGGGCTTTCCCTTGGCCCGTACCCATCTCTTTCACTCCCAACTAAGGGCACCACCCAAAAGCCTTTTTTGAGGCCAACTATTTATTATTTTTTTTTTTTTTTACGTACCTTTTTAATTTTCCGATATTCCTGTAAAATTTGATCATGGATGGTCTAGAAAGGAAAATACAGCTTATTATTTTCAAAAGAGCTGACGGTTCTGCAACCCACTGCAGTAGGCAAGGGTTTACTGATGGCTCAATGTACATATTTCCTCCAAATATTGACCAAAATCCACCCCCTCCATGACTTCCCCCCCGTGACAGCTACAACCAGCCTCACTGACTCCCTTCCTATACTGGTGCTGACACCAGCAGCACTGGGAGGATCAGGCCCCATTCCCCAGCCCTGAGAACTACCTGCGACAGGCACCTGGGCTGGCAGGATAATTGCCATTTCCTCCACACAGCTCAGACTCATTTTTCCCCAGAATATATAAAAATAATTCAGTGAGGAACGACTGAATTTCTCCAAGAGAGGGGGGGGAAGGCCGCAGCACAATAGGTGCTCTGTAAAAATCTGTTTGTAATACTCCGTGAGACTTAGTTGCTCAAGATAATGAATAGTTAAAGCTCTTTTAAAATCAGTCTGACAAGTCAAATAATGCTACATTATTAAGATCAAAGATTCCAGAGGAACAGATGACCCCGGACTAACTCCCCTTCCAGCCCTGATACGCTCCCATATGTGCAAATATGAGTTTGCTGGCTGGGATACACTAATAGCTTCCAGCAGCTTTTGGCTGAAGACGCCAATTGTCTCACTGAGGCCTTTCCTTGTCAACAAGTACCGTGATGTGTGCTCCAGCTTGAAAACGAAAGAACACAGAGCTGTTTTAAGAACACTCCACAAAGCTGTCAGCTGGGTGCACGTTCTGCATCCAGCCCTTCTGGGCTCTGGGGCAGCGCCTTGCAGCCACCGACCCATCCCCACCAGCCCCAGAGACACCAAACCGATGAGTCGTAGGGTTTCCACTCGTAGAACTAGCTCGGAAAAAATAGAAGGAAACAAAAAACCACCAAAAATAATTCTGTTTCTACCTTATATTCTTCAGAGCCCTGCAAAAGCTGCTTCAGCTTGGCGTCTAACTGCGTAAACCGTCGCGTTATCCTCTCTATCCGGGCGTGCAAGTCCCTGTACTCGTTGTATTCCGCGTTGAAGTCGTTTTTGTAACTCTGACGCTGCTCCGAAGAGGAAATGGCCGCGTATTTTCTGGAGGGAGAATCATTTTCAGTTCATCAGTTGAGTAAATCTTCCCTCCAGAAATCCCCCTCCAATGCCAGAACCAGGGTGACACATCTACCAGGTGATGGCGTTTGGAAACCAATACAGCCTCTTAAAATTGGCATTATAGTAGAAGAGAGGTGACTGTCAGGATTATTGCCTTGAGTTCTGCGTAAAACAAGACAGTGTTTGCTCCCAGAACTTCCTATCTGAGCCAGATAGGGTGGAATATGCAGGTACAGCAAAGCCTGGGAGCAGCTGGGGGTGTAGGAGGACATGGAGATAGCGCTGCTACAGCTTTTCTAACTCCTGCTGTCCCGCAGAACATGGAGTTCTGCATCTGTGCCAGACCTTGGAACAGCAGGAATACGATGCTTCCAGTGTTAAGAGTCTTTAAAGGAAACACAAAAAGCATTCAGCCGTCGTTGCAAAATGCTCACAGTAGGACTGGGTGGCAAAGGCAGGAGGAGAAACCACATTGAGCAGATCGAATACGTCCCCCACCACCTCCTGGAGACTCCCAATGGGAATCCAACACGAGAGCTCACGCTTAACAGATGCACCTTTGAGGCCCTCTAAAAATTATTCATCTCAACAAAAAGCCATTAAACCGGGAATTTTGCAGAAAAGCCCAGCAGCTTTTTTACTTTCTGCTGGTAAAACTCATCTCTTTGTAGGTGACAGCTCTAATTTGCCACCTTACTCCTACACAAACATGCAGAAGCTTATGGACTTAAAAAATTAAGGGAATTGCTCTAGGCAATCCTGCTTCAGCAGGGGAGTTGGACTAGATGATCTCTATGGTCCCTTCCAACTCTAAAATTCAGTGAAATTCAGTGAAAACTTCCACCCCCTTAACCCAAATGCACTCAGGCCTTAACAAACCGATTCCTTACGAGGGGTTGGTATAAATAATCATCTAAACAGGACACACTACTCTGAAATAAGGAAGTTGTTCTCCCTGGTATGAAACATACACCTCCACGATCAAAACAGCAGTGATTCTTATAATTTAAGGAGCAGAACACAATCAGAACAATCAGATTGTGCTAAAAAGTGTGACAACAGACCTTAGAGGAGTTCATAAACCTTACAGGATTTCTCTGGAGATGGACCGAAGGGCTGCAATATCCCTTTTTAGGAGGGATCAGCATATCCTTTGTAAGAAAAAAACCCCAAAACCAATCTGGCCACTTGCATTGCTCTGAATGGTGTCAGAAATGCCAACTCGGAGCGGTTTGTACGGCTCATACAGCCCAGCAAACCCATGGGTTTGTAACCATAAAAAAGCCCTATACAACTTCCAGTCAACTCCAGTGCCTGCTAGGCAGAGCCAAGAGTGGATGCCTCCTCTTCCTCCTGCTCTTCCTCTCAGCCCGGAGTTGATGGCACAAAAAAAACCCCAGGTGGAGACGTGCACAGGGAACATCACCCCCAGCTACGCTCCCTGCTATCACCCGCCTTTGTTTATAACAGGTTTGGCTTTATGCAGATTTTTGGCTTTACACGCGGGGATTTTTGTGCTTCCAGCAGACGAGTAGATTGTTTAATTAACCTCAAGGGGATCTGATTAAAAAGTCAAGAGGTGAAACAACTCACATCCTAACCCACGGGTTATAACCTCCCCAACGAAGAATGTTTCGCTGGTTTATGCAGATGATCTTGGCTCTGAGGAGGGGAAGAATTAGCTAACCTCCCAAAATCCTTTCTTGCCCCGTCTTCCAGAACATTAAAGCACATCATTTCCTCTTTAAACTTCCCAACATGGAGATGTTTAATCCTTTCAAGGTATGTAATATTTCTTGAAGTACTTTACCAATTGGTTTATAGGAAGATAACCTTGAACTGCACAAGGAGGGAAAGAACGGATCTGATACCAAGTTGAGTCTCAGGAACTATCTGCAAAGTTGGATTTACTCTTTTTTTTTTAAGCCCACCATACACAGTTCTATCAAGTAACAATAAAGTCCAACAAAAATCCCCAGTACGTTGCGATTTTTAGCTTGAAACATGATCCCAAAGTGATGAAGCAACTGATAAATATACTTACAATAAATAATCTGGCATTTCTGAAGTTGATGTTGGTACGCTAGAATTATTGCATGTTCCGTTTAAACCTGAAAAAATAAAAACTTGTTTGTAGGCATTCTTAAACCTTAAAGCTCTAGGCAATTAAACTTCATAAACATCTGCAATACGCCGTTTATCAAGTTCTAAAGGATTTCTGGTTTGCTTTGAACTGACAGAGATAGAAGATCTACAATAACCGTTCTGTGATTCTATAATAAGGTGGTTGAAACTTCAACGAGATCAACATTAGCCAATGCACTGAGCAGCAAAAAACCTTCATTTAATTGGTTTCTAAATGCTGCCTGCAGAGAGGGATAACGCTGCTATCACCACAAAACAAATTTACGAGTCCAGATGAGCAGAAGAGAGGAGCTGAGCAAGGTGCACATTTCTTTTCTCCCTATTCTACAGCGCACAGATTCCTACTAGTAATACTCCAGGTTCAGATTCCTACCATTAACACCCCAGACTCCTACAGGGCACAACAAAGGGGTTTATAAGGCATTCAGCTTTTTCCTCACCCAGCCCTACTGCCCTGCGGACAAAACAAAGTGCTCTCTGCTCTGAGAAGTTGAAGAAACACGAAGGGAGCAAGGCTCAGTGAAGAATATTTAGATATTTAGGAGTTAAGTGAAGGGATCGAAGACCTGAGGAGGAACAGGATTCCCCAGACCCCATCCTCAACCTAAACCAAACACTGCCTTATTAGTTTGGCTGAAGAAAGCAGCTGGATACAGGTTTGAAAGGGGATATTTCTCATAAAATGCATATTATACTGAATTCCCCAATCAGAGAGTTGACTGCACCCAGGGGAAGGCAGCAAAATAAGAGGCAAGGGGAGAAGGCTGCAAAGGATTTAAATCAACCGCTTTGCAGAAGTGTGTTCTTCTTTCCTATTCTTTCTGAGCCTGTTATTTAGAGCCAGCAGTTCCTAGATTTTGCACTTTCCCAGATGCCCAGGACAGGGAGGTGTGAGCTGAGCCCCATCTATCCCCACACCCCTACTTTACAATCCCTACTCCAGAGAGACTGCAGGGAAATGCCCACATAATAAACACAGGCATGGAAAAGCAATCACCTCATTCTATCTTTTAAAAAGTTGATTTTTCTCAGAATTTCCCCAGAAAAGCTCTCCTGAGCAGAACAGAATGGCAGAAAACTTGTGTTGTTTAAAGATCTCAATCTCAATTCCTGCTGGAGATGTTTGCAGCCAATTCTGTTTTCACCCCTACCTGGCCACCAGCGTTCAGAATGCAGACCGTGAAGGATGAAGACCATGGGTAAGGAAGATCGTGGAGGAGAAAGGGAGAAAAACCAGTTTATTTTGCCTGTGAGTGCCACCTACTGACTGCTGGAAGGACCCCAAAAGTCCCTCCAGCTGCCTCTGGAACAAACCTCCCAGGAGAAACTCTGCTTCCCCGCAGTCCCTGGCCCGAGGGGGACAGAGGGAGGGCTGCCAGCGAGAGGAGCAGGACCAGGGCCCACGCTGTCCCCATGAAATAAGGGGAAAAAAAAAATAAATCTCCCAATTGAGATGCAAAACTGGCTGTCCAGAATCCAAGCAGCCACTGACCACATCCTGTTTATGATTACTCCCAAGTCCAGCTCGGATTCGTTACCTCGCATACATCAGCGGTGCAGCAGGAACAAACCCCGACTCCTACTAATTAACAAAGAGCCAGTCATTAAGCTGTTTTGAAAGCAAGAGCAGAAAAGGTGATAAAAGGTCAGCAACTTCATGGAGAAAGAATTCAGGGTATTTTGGTATTTATAAGAAACACTGACAAAAACTTACATCCAGAGAGAGAGAGTGTGGCTGTGTATACCCACTGCCATCCAAGACATAAGACACATGGGGAAGAAAAACAACATTCACAGAAAAAACTACAAAAATTAAGATCGAAGCAGAATTAGGGTCTGAAGAGCGTGGATCTGTGGTGCCACACAACGATCAGGACCATGGATGTAATTAAAAAAATCACTGCTGAGCAGTCAAAATGCCTACAAAGGCTGTGGGGAAGGCGAGAGCTCAATGCCCTGCAGAGCTCTCCCTTCCCAGGAATTCAACAAATGAGGTTTTTGAGTTACTGACCCTTTTGAGTCAAAACTGGATGATTTTCATGCACCAAGAAGAACTTAAGGGTCAGAAAGTAGTAATGGGGCAAAGGAAAACAAGATGGATCCAAAAAAATATTTAACAAGGGATAGGGACTGCGATATCCACAGAGGCTGCAGGGGAAATCTCAGCGCCCGGGGAGTTGTAAGAAAGTGTAAGGAAAGAGCAGAAAAGAGGAAAACTGGTGAAGGAATCGATGGGATTAATCACCATTCTCTGCCCTAACTTCTAAGAGTATGTAGAAGTGAGGTAGGACTGACTTAGAAACACACTGGTTTGATGGAAGACATTTTCATCGCATCTCAAAGGGCCAAAGATTCACTGTTGTGTTAACCCCCAAACCAGAAATTCAGAGGATGAGGGATACAACAAGGAAGCTCTTTCAGCCTGAAAGAGCTGGTTGTTGTACATTGCTCCGACAACATTTATCACAAGACTTATCTCCCATCGCTTCTGTACACAATATTAAAAGCTTTTGTGACTAACTTTTCATTACTGAGTTAAAAATCAATAGGAGAGTCATCACAATACCCAACACCAGCAGAAGAGCCCTAAGTAATCAAGCAGCTCTGCTTTTTTTTCCCCCGACACATCTTGATGTCTGCCTTTCATCCCCCACATATTAATCCGACTTTTAATTTAACGAGGAGAAACATGACACGGTCTGAGGCAGGTTCCAAGCAGCGTGAAAGGTTAAACAGGAAAAACCTGATATCCTCTTTCGAGAGGAAGCACATTTGGTGATTTGTAGGTAGGGACAGAGCGATATTATTTCGTTAACCACACACACACACACGGTCTCTGCAAGCGGAGACGCCGCCTCCTCCCTTCCCCAAATGGATTTAGAGCAGAAATTATACACAGTCAACACCAATATTAGCACAAACTGTCCAGGAGGACGCCTCGGCCCGTACTCACCTGTGACCTGTTCCTGGGGAACACTACCTAAGTCAGCATTTTTTATTACTTCACAGTCCTGCTTCTCCTCTTTGCACTTCTCTTCGCTCTTCTTCTCCTTCCTCTCCTTTTCCTTGTCTTTGTGCTTTTTGGATTTTTTCTTGCTTTTGACGTACGAGCTGCAATTGTGCTTGCTCGTTTGGGGACAGTCTGTGGGGAGAGGATGAGTCAGTCTGTCGGTGGGCTCCGGGTTGTCACAGTCTCTGCCGTTGTGGGTCAGGTCGTTGCTGACATCCGAGAGGGGATCGTGAGGCCTGGGCAGCTCCAGCAGCGGGAGGTTGGAGCTGGAACTCACCGACTCGGGCAGAGCCGGAGGCAGGGAAGGGGCAGGGGGGGGAAGGTCCTTCCCGTTGGAAGAATTCACTTTCCCGTTGAAAGTAGGTTGAGTTCGATGAGCCAAATGTGAGATCCTGGGCTTTTTGTTGGCCAGGGGATCGATAAACTCCAAAGGTTGGGATCGTTTCTAGGGAGGAAAAAGTTTAAAAAAAAAAAAAAGAAATCTTGAATTAGCCAAAATTTGGGAGGCTGTTACCACTAGGTGGTGGTGCAACACCAGAGAACCAGGAAATATCCCCAGAAAAAAGAGCTCTGCTGGCAGTGAGAGCTGCCAGCAAGTGTCCCAGCTCAAAGGCTGCTCCTGGGCACAGGCTCCAGGACCACAAGGTCCTACAGAACCTCATCCATCCCTTCCCGACAATCCCGACAGCCCTGGAGCCCGCAGCAATTTGGGAGAGCTTAGAGAAACCCACCATCATATCAGCAGTTATTGATCTCCTGCACTATTCTCACCATGGCCATGCAACCCAGCCTGCTCTCGATGTGTCTCAATTCAAATCTAGCACTTTAGAAGTAAAACCCTGTCCTAACCCTGTCCTTTCCCTGTCCCCATCACTTGGCAGAGAATGGAAAGCATCATAAAAAACCATCTGTCACCTCTTCTGGTCGTGGCAGGACATTTAGAGCACCTCACAGTCCCTGAGAATGAAAGATGTGCTGAGATTGGTTGGACAAGATGATCTTTAAGGTCCCTTCCAACCTAGAAGATTCTGTGATTCCGAGATCTCTGGAAGAGGGAGGGATTCCCAAGTTCTGCATTTTGTTCCTGACTGATTTTACCCACTCTGTGGTCAACAGCTCTACCCCCACAACCCCACTCCTTCCTCTTCTCCAGAAAGAGGCATTTCCCGGAAGAGATTAGAAAATGGCAACTGTTCCAAGTTCTCAGAATTTAAGGCAAAAAGAGGACGTTTGGTGCAGTTTTAAAAGCCACGTCACATGGGCCAACACAATCTGAGAATCCCTTTTTTTTTTTTTTCTAATAAATAAGCAGTGCAAGAGAGAGAAGTGGTTCCCAATGTCCCCATCAGCCCTGGCTGGGCTCGGAGAAGCTCTGTGTGCCCAGGGGCTGTGGGTCAGCCTGGGGAAGCTGCAGCCTGGAAGAACCCATCCATTGGGCAGGAGAAAGAAGAGCTCAAGGCAGATCCTGAACTATGGCTCAGTCCAGCTAAAATTACTTGGGAGAGCCATGAGTGCAGCAGCGTGTGCCTGCCCGGGCAGCAGGAACCGGGAGGAAAGATGATTTAGTGCCCAGAGGAAAACAAGCAACAGTTCCGGTTATTTCTTTTGGATATTTTACTATTTTCTTTACGTCTCAGGCCGGACTGCGATGTGTTTGCAAAGGGAAATTTTGTTCCGTCGGAGAAACGCAGCTGGATGCGCGGCCACTCTGCCAGGGAGCCACCAATTGACCCCTTCCCCCCCCTGTAGAATCATAGAATGGTTAAAAGTTGGAAGGGATCATCTAGTTCCACCCTCCTGCCCTGGGCAGGGACACCTCCCACCAGCCCAGGTTGCTCCAAGCCCCCTCCAACCTGCCCTTGAACCCCCTCCAGGGATGGGGCAGCCACAGCTTCTCTGGGCAACCTGGGCCAGGCTCTCACCACCCTCACAGCAAAGAATTTATTCCTAATATCTAATCTAAATCTCCTCTCTCCCAATTTAAAACCATAACCCTTTGTCCTGTCACTGCACTTCTTGACAAAGAGTCCCTCCCCAGCTCTCCTGGAAGCTCCCTTCAGATATTGGGAGGCTGCTATGAGGTCTCCTCTGAACCTTCTCTTCTCCAGGCTGGTTATTATTTCTCTTTGCTAATTCCGGGGGTCTCAAGGGCACGGGGGTCTCAAGGGCACGGGGGTCTCAAGGGCACGCTGCTCAGTGGCAGGAATCCTTTCCACCTGGGAAGGTAAGGAGGCAGAGGAGCTGCTGGAGGGACAAGGACAGCACGTCCAACCGGCTTTGCAACATCCCCAGCAGAACAGCAGCAGTGTCCATCTCCTCACCCTGCCTGCAGGTCTCGGGCAACAGATTTGAAAAGTGCCACCTTTTACCCTCCTTTCTCTAAAGCCAACACACACCAGCTTCCCTGGTGTCACCTCTCTGGTTTGAGGGGTACGTGCCCGTGACACCACCTCTGCCAGGCTTCCTTGGAGTCACCACACCAAGTTATTTTTTCTCCTTCGCCTTCATTCCCCAACTGAACTTTCTCAAAATATTGAAATATTTTGCATTCCACACTACCAAATCCCAGTCTCCTCTGCTGGGATCTCAACCATCAGCAGGCAGCCCTCCTCTAAATAGCAACTACAGCTATAGAGTATCCAAAAAAAAAAAAAAGAAAAAAAGAAAGAAAGACTGCTTACAAGAAAAAGCTGTCTGTGGTTTGCTGCCTGACACCAGCCACGGCAGAAGCGCTGCTGGAAACATTTATATTCCATGTTTGGTTGCCCCTGTTTTACCAGCATTTTCTAGATCCAAACCAATCAACCACCCAAAGTTTCTACTGGGTCATCTCAAGAGATCAAAAACATCACAGAATCACATGGGGTTGGAAGGGACCTCTGGAGATCATCTCCTCCAACCCCCTGCCAGAGCAGGGTCACCCAGAGCAGGTCCCACAGGAACGTGTCCAGGTGGGGTTTGAATGTTTCCAGAGAAGGAGACCCCACCACCTCCCTGGGCAGCCTCTGCCAGGGCTCTGCCACCCTCAAAATAAAGAGGTTCCTCCTCATGTGTGGTGTTGGGGGATATGAAGGGGAGAACTTTGCAGAGTAGGGTTGATGGTTGGACTCGATGATCCCAAGGGTTGTTTCCAACCTGAATGATTCCATGATTCTATGTTTAGGTGGAACTTCTTACACTCAAGTTTGTGCCCATTTCCTCTTGTCCTCTCACTGGGCACCACTGAAAAAAGCCTGGCCCCATCCTCCTGACAGCCACCCTTTCAGTATTTATAAGTGCTGATCATCCCCTACAGACCTTTGTATCTTTCAGAATACACACAAATCTTCCTGACACCCACCCTTTCAGTATTTAAAAGTGTTGATCATCCCCTACAGACCTTTATGTCTTTCAGAATACACACAGCCACAACGGAGATGATTTTTCCAACCTACATTTTTTTCAGAATCAGGTTAAGAAAAACACAAGACCGGCCTCTTAACAGAGTCGTATCTTTCCAGGCAAACTCAAAGGAAGGGGCACGTTCTTTATTCACCAGGAACGTGCCCACAGCAGAGCAGGACAGGATTTGGAATTAAGCACCTGGCAAACAAGTTGCCCAGTTCTTGTTGTGAACGGAGCATTGCCTCCCTCCTCGCTGCCAGAAAGCACATAATTTCTTTACCTGCTAATATTCTTTGCCACTAATCCTCAGCGCGTCTGTCCAGACAAGTAGGCATTACACATTCCATTGGCAGGAGGAGAATAAATACTCAACTTGTCTGGGCTGACCCACAGCTGAGAAGGGAAGCTGGTATTTCACAATGCTTGCAAGAAATGCCTGCACGAAGAGACACTGGGAAGAGCAGGGACAGACCCTGCTTAACACACAGGGCAAATGCAGCTCCTTCCCAGTTTATTAGGATGGAAAAAAACCAGTCAAAATGTACTTTTCACAGCTCCACGCACCAGCATCTCAACAAATCAAAGAGCAGACCAACCTGCCCCTGATCTGTCCCAGCAATTAGGTTGCAAAAGGTCAAGGTTTTTAATAACTCGACTGTGTTTGGGAGCTGCTTATTACTGCTTCGTTCCAGTCAATTATTAGTAATGAGTAAAACACAAGCTCATTCTCCCAGGAACTCCAAGAGGGATGCAGGCACTGGGGATGAAAAATGTAGCCCTTAAAACTAAACCTAAGACATGCTCTCAGAGATCCTCCCCATAGGCCACATCCAGGAGAAACAGATGCTGAAGAAGCCCAGAATTAGACTCTAACTTAATAAAATGGGGAAAGAAACTCAACCCAACCCCAAAACTCAACCCAACAATCTCTTGATAGCTTGGCTGGGACCCTAGGTCCAGCTCCCAAACTCCATGGAGAGAAGATGGAGCCAAGGGCTGGCTCTGAGCCCCCCCTGGAGAAGGATCACCTACCTGAGGAGGAGAGCTGGAGTTCACGGTGTCTTTTGGTGGACTCAGGGAAGGTGCTTCTCCTTGAAAACCGCTGCTGTTCTGCGGCTGACAGAGTTTCCTGAAAAACAGAATTCCGGGGCTGTTCCAATCCCGTGCCTGACAAGCCAACAGATGGTATTTCAAACCTGCCTGCAGAGCAAAGAGCCTTTTTGGGGGCTCAAATCTCCTGACTGCTTGAAGATGCCACCAAAGCAGCTCGTTCAGGCACTTACAGCTTCGATCTCGGACAAAATCTGGGAAGAAATAACTACTACAGAGTAATATCAATCAACAACAGAAGATAATTGCTTATCTCTTTCTTGTCTTCCCATGATTTTGGGGATTCTCTAAATGGAGGTAACACCCCGGTGTGATGCTCTGCAGGGAGGGAGCAGGCTGAGCTATCAGACACCCGAGAGGATTCCCTAACGAGGATGGAACTTCCTTGCTGACAGTTTTGCCTCTTTTCTCTTGAACCGGTGACATAAATATTACAACAAATGAATTGCAACCTTAGAAAAACGATCCATATACAGATTTGGCACTTGAAAGCGTAGAGGAGGTATCTGTTCCTGCTACTGATTGAAATACAGCTCAATAAGCATTTAAACTAATTTCTGCTGACTTTGTCTCCCCCAGTTAAAATTGTCTTCACAAGAAAATTCAGCAAGGCAGCACGCTCTGAAAAGGGGTCAAAACTCAAGCTCAGATGTTGGGAGAGAAAGTTCTCCCGCTCATTAGGGCCATTAAAACAACATTTTGCAGAATAGCAGTCCCTTTTCAGAAGGAAGCCCCTCTGGGTCCATGAAAAAGCAGGATTATAACAGGAACCATTACATATGGTATTATTGGTCCACCAGGATTTACATTTAGAGCTTCATAATACTACTTTTGAGTTGCATCATGCAAAATAGCACTACTCTGGTGAGTATTTGCAGTATTGGACAAACAAAAGAAACCTCTTGTCACCAAAAGAGGTACAATGCAAGTCATTCTGATCACATAAGTGTGGAAATTCACGTTCAGGCTGGGGAATCTCCTCTCCCCACCACCCCAGGGGCTCTCTCTCTCCATCTCCAAGTAAAGTTTCCCAGCTTTGCCCTGCTCTCCTGACACCGGGTATTAATCACCCAGGAAAAACTACTCTTGCATCAAGCTGCAGCTGTCAAACTGGAAAAAAAAAAATAAAAAAAATAATAATCAGGGTTAAAGGTTTTAATAAAGTAGCTCTGCAGTCGTTTAGTCACCAGGCTGAATGACCAAACATCTAAATTCTTCCCCAAGAGGCTATAATCAGCTTTAAAGCGCACACATATTTTTCAAACATTGGGAAGATTATTTCAGAGATAAGGCCCGTGACTTTCTACAAGGTTTTCATGAACCTCGGGCCGTGTTGTGGCAACGTTTAAGCCCCTGAAGTTTCACTGCCGTTTTGGCTTCAGTCGCTGCTTTGTTTAATTTTATTTAGAACAATCTCAACAGCCAGGGATCGACTCGAGTAAAACGCTCGGAGACTGTGAAAACAGGAAGGGGAAGAGTGAGATTCCATCAACGCCGCAGTGAAAGTGGCTTTTTTGGATGCTGTTTGGCTGGACTGAGTAATCTTGTCACATCTACTAGGTTAATTATGGATTTAAAAAAAAAAAACGAGGGGATGAAAGACAATGACTTTCAATTCGGCGCCTCTTGTAAGAGAGGAAAAACTTTTCAATCCAACGATGAAAAAAAGATGGAAAACACAAAAAACCCCAGTGTTATATAGTTATATAGTTTTAATATCTGCAGATGTGCCAATTATTGCAGCCGATGAAGCACAGAGTGGGGCAACTGGACCTGAAAACCAGGAGGACACCCAACAATTGGCTGGATCCAGGCAACGGCGCGGCCGCCGCAGCCGGCGACGTAAAGCCCTACGTCTGGTGCCTGTGCCCTTTTTGTGAGTGGTTTTTTTTTTCTACTGTCTTCAACCCTACATGTTTTTTCCATTTTGTAGCCTCATTACCTGCGCTGGCTGAGCGGGGCTTTGTTTGTACAGTTGAATACATCCTTTCCAAGGTCTATTTTTAGACCTTCGCATAACTGAATGCCACAATTCTAGAAAAAAAAGCAGTAAACATGGCTTTCTGCGGGGAGAAATTAACTTTTTTTTTTGAAAGCCGTAAAGATTGCATGGCAGTTGTATTTTTCCATTTAATTATAATTCACCATCAAGGCCATTTAAACGAGTTTGATTTCTCTTCAGCGTGCCAAAGCACTTCCAGTGCAACTTTCTGTTGGTTTAACAAAGTCCCATCTCCAGGCCAACTGCGCCTTCAAATCAGGGAAACTGTTCAAACACAGCACGGTCTACTTCATCTTAACCCAAAGTGCTGTGAAATAAATGGCAAAAACAAGTGGAGTAAAATCTACATTACAAAAATAAGGACCGAGTCAGTACAGATGCACTGAAAACCCAGAGAGGGAAATATAAATGATCAGAGAAGGTTTTTTTCCTCTAGAAACTGGGGAGATACGTCTCTATCCCTGCTGCCTGACAGCCAAGAGCTCCTGAGAGGAAAAATATCTGTATTTTCAGGAAAGAACAAGAGGACAGGTGTCCCTTGGACATTGAGAATTGGACAATATGGGCAGAATCAGCACGTGTTTTAGGGGAATTCTCTCTAGAGAACCACCTCCTGCTTTTTCAGGCATCAAACCATCAAACCTCAATCTTGCGGGACGATGGTGCTAATAAACAGAATTTGCAACAGAAATAAAAACCCAGTGACCAAATGTTGGAATAACACTGGGAATGAAGCAGTGAAGTCTCCCAAGCCAAGGGCTCCAGAGGGACGGGGACATCCAGAGGAACAGGGCACAAAAGTGGCCGAGCAAGACATTGAGGGGACGTGGCTGCAGAGTGAGGTCCCTCTCTCCCTGCCTTGAACAAACACGGCACAGGAAGGCGTGCGCGAGGAGATACGGCGAAAGGAAAGGAGAGTTTCAATGGAGACTTGGAACTGGCCACATTTGCCTTAATCCATTCATCTCCCAGGATTTTAAACCACCATTAACTTTTGAACTGCACCAGCTTTTGTTCCCTTCTCCAGGTTTTCCCCCCCTGGCTTTTAGTGCAATGATTTAAAGGCAGCCTGGGTCGACCTGAAGAGCGCGTCCACTTTGACGTTCGAGTTTAGTAACTTCTACAACTGCCTGGACAACAAACAGATTTATGTTCAAGTAAATCAAACACTCCACTTACCATTGTTCTACTGACTTCAGCTACCCCGATTTATAGCAACTGACCCGGGGCAGTATTTTCAAGCTCCAGCTGATATTACAGAGAAGATGGAATAATTACCGAACGAGTATCCTCTTCAGCAACTGCTGATCTCCTTCAGAGTAGCCAGGCCAGTCCTTCTGCACTTCTTTGTATACACAGTCTTTCAGTGTGAAAGTGCTGTCCTTGGCACTCAAATTTGCCACCTGAAACAAAAGTATTTTGAAAAGAAGAAAAAAAAACAAAACAAAACCAAAATTGTTAGGGTTTAACCTTGGCACTCAAATTTGCCACCTGAAACAACAGTATTTTGAAAAGAGGAAAAAAAAAAAAAAACAAAACCAAAATTGTTAGGGTTTTTAATTTTCTCACTTGTTCTAACAAAAAAAATATCTAAGATGAAAGCAAACCAAAATTGTTAGGGTTTTTAATTTTCTCACTTGTTCTAACAAAAAAAATACCTAAGATGCAGGCAAAAAATCTCAGCAGTTGGTAGGGTCAGAGAACAAACAGATTTTATACTTAATTTCCTAATTAGTCCAGAGAAGTTGTGGATGTCCCATCCCTGGAGGGGTTCAAGGGCAGGTTGGAGGGGGCTTGGAGCAACCTGCTCTAGTGGGAGACGTCCCTGCCCAGGTCAAGGGGTTGGAACTTGATCTTTAAGGTCCCTTCCAACTCCAACTATTCTAGGATTCTAATTATTTGGCTTATTTAATCTAACTGTGCCTTCCCTTTTGCCTTGCCATCGCACCAGTTTATTATGAGTTTCCAAAGTCTATCAAATTGGTTGGACTCAATGATCCATGGTTGGACTTGATGATCCCAAGGGTCTCTTCCAACCTAGACGATTCTATGATTCTAAATTTACTGGGGAACTGTGCCTTCCCTTTTGCCTTGCCATCGCACCAGTTTATTATGAGTTTCCAAAGTCTATCAAATTGGTTGGACTCAATGATCCATGGTTGGACTTGATGATCCCAAGGGTCTCTTCCAACCTAGACGATTCTATGATTCTAAATTTACTGGGGAACAAGTCAGATCTAAAGCCATTATTCAGCCTGGACAGTCAGGAATGGCACGACATCAGTTTGGGGGTTATTTCCAGGTATTTCCTTACTTTGGAACAGGCAGTGAACTTATCGTACCCGTCCCATAGCTAAAATGGTGCAGTTTTATCAGCTGATAGAGGGACTCCTGCGGCGAGAGCTTAGTTAACGATTGCCAAGGAGATAATTTCTCCCTCAGGAGCCAGTGAAAGAGGTGACAGAAAAGCTGCTTTCCCAAGGAGCAGCGAGGAGAAGGTCGTGCAGACACTGCTCAGTGCCTTGGGATCATCTGCTGGATTTCACGGAGGAGAACTTCTCCCAGGACAACTCCAGGGCAGGAACGAAACCTGTGATTAGCAGCTTATAGCCCAGGCTTTTACAACAGAGCATTGCACCCAAACAGGGTGCTGTGATTAGCTGGGGGCACTTGCACCAGTGGCTTTTTGACATTTGATCCAATTCCAGTGCCTGTAGTTTCCCCCCAAAACTCTGCCTGGTGCCTGCACGGATCGGAAACACCAATGGAATTGGCAGGATTGGATTAGAATGGAAACAACTTGTTGAGAGTTTTCCCACTTTAATCAGTCTTTCCACGGATTGACTGAAAATTTAACTTCTTGCTGCCGGTTACATGGCTGAAAAATACAAGTTTTCCCACTTTAATCAGTCTTTCCACGGTTTGACTGAAAATTTAACTTCTTGCTGCTGGTTACATGGCTGAAAAATACAACGTCAGCACAAAGCAAAAAGCCCCAGTGAAGTTTTCAGAGGTACTACAACATCTTGGTGAACCCTTCTCATGTGAGTGTAGAGGACTGCAAGCTTAGAAAGAAAGTAAAGCCCTAAATTTGTCTTTAATAAAGGGATAAGGAGGCAGAGGTGCCAAATGTGATGCCCAAAGCTGGGCTGATCCACTGGCAGAGCCAGCAGCCGCGTCCCAAACCCACTGCTTCAGCCGCTCCGTTTGATGAGCTTATTACACTCCAAATTAGAAGATGCTTTTATTCAGGCAGTGGAGATTTTGTGCATCTGTTTAAGGATTAGTGTTCTCCATTGCTCGCTCCGTTCAGGAGACCCTGGTGCTTATGTATCTCTATGACCCACGCACAGAAAGAGCCTCAGAAAAGCAAGTGCAAAGTCTAACTGAAGATGCTGTTAATTCTTCTGCTGCTGCTTTAGGGAGACTATGTCCTAGTATTAAAAAAAATAATAATAATCTATGAATTTAAAAGCAAAAAAGCTGCAGAACTAACACAGCAAAGCTCTCCTGATAAGCAAAAAAAAAAAGCACAGTTATCAGTTTACATGACGAACACTTTGTTTTTCCTTTCAGTTCTGTCAGCTTTCCAAAATCCTGAGCCAAAATACAAGAAGAATTTGAGCCGTGTTTTACATTTCGATATCCCAGTAAACATGCCCAAGAGACAAAAGCAAAGCTAGGTTCTTTTTTTCTAAAAAAAAAAAACCAAAACAAACTCTCTGAGGATCTCTCTGCTTTCTGCCTCCTCCTACAGAGGAGGAGACGTCGCTCGGCAAAGCTGGGAGCCCAGGGAGAGGAATAACTGGGATTTTCTTTGGGAAGAGAGTTGCTCCCTCCTTGTTTTGCTGCTGTTGGACTCCGTAAGCTCCACCCCGGGGCCTCCCAAAAATAGAAACCTTGCAAAATGAGGCAAAAAGGCCAGCAGGAACACAGAGTCCTTAGGAGAGATGCAAGAGTACAATGAAACCCACACCTAGACGTATTTAGACATGTAGCTTTAACGCAGCCTGTAATTTTTAGCTTATCTGTGTCTGCTTGTGGATGGGAGCCCTGGTAGTGCTGAAAGGAGATTAAAGTTTACAAGCAATATATTTACAGCCAAATCAGCATTTAGGCCAATCAGGCCGACACTGCCACTTGCCTGCCAGGGGTTTGGAAGAGCATCAATAAAAGGTGATTATCAGAAATGGCATTTCTAGTATTAAACCTATTTATAGCATTCAAAAGGGTGCTCGTAAGAATTCCAGCACCGCAGGAAAATGAAGGGCTACGGGATTAAGGGGAAGGAGTAAGTTGTGCCAGCAGTAACTCCATTTTCAATATGACCTGATCCGTGCCCTTGGACAAATTAACTCCTCATTGTCTCATTCTTTTCAGCTACGGAAAAGAGGAAGAAAAAAATAATCCAATAGAGAAGAGGGCAGCTGCAGCACTTAAATAAATATCCATGATGCGTTCTGCGCTGCGGGAGCAAGAAAGGTATTTACTGCAATTCCTAAAATGGCACCTTCACCATGACTCAAAGTGTTAAGGACTGATTCAGCTGGGAGACAGCTCTCACACTTGACACACAAATAATACACTTTGCAAGGAGCTGCCTGATCTTCACGCGGAACCAGTTGCGCTTCTGAGCAGGAAAGGCACGGGGCTGAGCAACACAGAGATGTAAAGCTCAGTGGAGAGGGACATATTTTTTCCTTCATATAGGAAACGTTACATCTATGAATATAAAACATGTTCCTTTATGTCCATGTTAATATAAACGCATAGGTTTATAGGTTATAACAATTCAAAGTGCTCCTAAATGCTCTGTTAGATAGTTCTCCCCGTGAACCACCAATAATGTTTCTCTTAAATGGACTGATCTGGTGAATAGAAGTCCCACAGCTGAGTTGTGGACACACAAGAGGTTTCTGCTCTCTCTAGCAACAATAGTGATGCAAATTGTCACCTTCTGTCGGCCATGGCCTTTAGAGAAACTTTCAGCTGCAGCTTTGAGACACAGAGATTACATTCAGGCTGATATAGCAGGTACCACCCTTCCAAGAAGATGTTTCTTGGAAGAAACAAGAAATCCTTGCCTCCATCAGGGTACAAACCTGTTGCAGAAGGTTGTCCAGCAAATCCTTGTCCTGCTGAGAAAGTCCATCCTTTTGCAATCTGAGAATCAGTTCAGGTTTCTTGTAAGGCTTTAGTGCCAGTAAGTGCACAACCCTATCTTTGAAGGGCCTCTGAGAAATGGCACTGTTGCCTCTCTTTATTGCACTGGCAAGGTTGACCGGCGTCGGGCGCTTCCTGGAGGGAACGGCGTCGGAAGCTCCCGGTGCAGGTTTACGCACCTGAACCTTTTTGCCTAAAATAAAAGGAGAATAATGAACTGCAGCAGCCACCTTGCAAAGGCCAACCGGTCTGTCAACACCTATCCAGGGCTCAGTCCACCAGCTGAAGTGCCACGAGATGACAAGGAAGGACAAACACAACCAGAGCATCCCCATCCCTTCCCAGAACCAGCATCCCGTGAGTTTTATGATTCCTGACAAGCTTGTAACAAGTAAACAGCAACACCAAGCTCTGGAAACCTGAGCATTATTGGCCACAAGCTCACATAAAGCTCTCTTTGTTTGCCAGCTTTTCATTTATCCCAAGTGCACGGATCCCCATGGTTAATCTAACCATTTCCCCCCCCTCCTCCTCCCTATGAGAAGAAAATTCTGCATTATTATGTAGAAGAGTCGAAATATGGAGTGGAAAGACCAGAACTGGTCAACGAGTGGCTCCCCGCTGCTGATCTCAGCAAAAAAAGCTCCTCCAGCAGATGTTTCTGCTTTTAGAACAATAGGAACTTTATGGGGCTGGGTCCACCTCCCTTCCCCCCCGCCAAATCCAGCCACATGAATGGGGTCTAACGCGGAGACATGGGCCTATTCATTAGCACGCTCTCTATTCTCATCAAATAACCCCTTTCCACGTTGGGGTAATAACCTCTTCCCCCTCCAATTACATTTACATATTGGGGAGAACATCAAGCTGGCTCAAAAGTTCATCTCAAGACCTCGGAGGCAGCTCCCTCCACTCCACTCCACGGCAAACGCGGTTCTTGGTCTCTGACAGCATCATACAAGAATTCATTTTTCCCATTCCTGCTGGAAAACAGCTTTAACTAGAACCCTCACACAAGTTCCCACATCGCTCACTGAAGCACAAATCGAAGAATTTCACTATTTTGACTAGAGAAACAGGTCACAAAGGCAGGTTCCTGAACACAACAAACCAAAAAAAAAAAACATTTGGAGGTTCCAAGGTCTGATCCAGGGAGAAGCAAAACAAGAAAGTGACCTTCGCTGGGACAAACAACCTCACACAAGTTCCCACATCGCTCACTGAAGCACAAATCGAAGAATTTCACTATTTTGACTAGAGAAACAGGTCACAAAGGCAGGTTCCTGAACACAACAAACCAAAAAAAAAAAACATTTGGAGGTTCCAAGGTCTGATCCAGGGAGAAGCAAAACAAGAAAGTGACCTTCGCTGGGACAAACAACATCCAGCATTTACTGCAAGAATTTTGGGGGTTGATTTCCCAGCGTGGCAATTCTCCACTGCTAGGAAGCGATGTTTTCAACTGAGTCATCTGAAGATACTGGTGATTGTCTGCAGTGTTTATTTGACTGAAATGCAGATTGCATAACCGAGTCCCCATTTCCTGGCTTCTCGTTACGCACCACGCTGATGCAAGCAAGTACGACCCACCAGCAGCAGGGCTGAGTTAAGGAAAGAGGGAGAAAAACAAAGGTTCACACGTTCAACGTCCCAAAAATCCAGAGGTCAACTAGACTCTGTTTCCAGAAACAGGACAAGAGAAGATTTGTCAGCTTTCTAGAACTCCCTTCCCTCTCGCCAGGTCGTGAACAGCAAAAAACACATTGGGGACATTTCCACTTAAGGCTGGAGCCAAAATGGGCAATGATAGGAAAAAGAAAAAAAAAAAAAAAACCTGAGTTAAGCCAGAACACAAAGTCTTTTAAAATATTTATACTTGTGCTTATATATAGATGTTAGCACACACATATTTAGTGTGTGTATAAGCACACACATCCCCCTTACAGACATATGAGCTATCTAGTTATGTATGTATTTGTTCCAGTGTTAGTGCACATCTATACTGCTCTGTTGATCTCCAATTTCAACATTTCATATAAATTCTTCCCCATCCGAGCTGCCTGGAATGACTCCAGTGATGTTTTAAGTGCTGAGCTCCGTGTTACTGTGGAAATGTGGGGCCAGCCTTCTCCCCCCAGCCCAGCCTGACTCAGCTGCTGGTGCTGGCACCCCAAAACCCTGCGTGTCCCACAGGAGAACCATCCCTGCCCGGGCTCTTCCTTCTTGGATCAGAGCTTTTTCTTAAAGCCTGACATCTTATATACTCAGCAAACGCTCCACTCCACCGCGTTTGATGTGGTCTTGCCTCCATTTCACAGCGGCAAAAGTTTTAGCAAAAGTATTTCCAAATCAAAAGTTTTCTTTCATCTTTCCGGGAAGCAATTTGCTTTGAGAATCTTCTCCTCACAGCCTAACAACTTCATCCACTTACTGTAACGTTCTCAAATATAAGCTAAACAAAATAATCTTCTAGTCTACAGGAAATCAATGCATTTCCTTCCTGATTACTATCTTATTTCTCAGCTTTGAGCGCTTGGCTGATAAAACAATGAGTCAGGGTCAGCTCTGCATTTTGCAACTCACCATTCTCATCCCAGACATCCTCTGAGAAGAGAGTGGCTACAGATCACATGGGCTGCAGAAAAAACAGAGGCTCAAAAGTGTAAAAAAAAAAACCCAAACCCCAAAACTCTGCTTTCTGATTAATCTTTGTGCCCTGAGTTTGTGAGGAGGCTGAGGTTAAGCAGGGACCTGAGCCCCAAAATCCTTCTGGAGCCCAGTGATATTTGCCAAGGTTGTATTTCCTTCCCTAAAATCCTCCTTCCGTTGTCACAATAAGGTGGTTTGGTTCAGGTTGCTGTCAGAGGCACCACTTCAGTCTCTTTCTTTATTAAGATGAGGGCTCTGCTGTCTGCATCCTGGCTGCTGCAGGTTACAGTCCCCAGCACAGGCACACACCAATGTGTGACAGCTTTTTAGCTGATTCTGTGAAGAGCTCGGCCACTTCCGAGGGATGAGCAGTGTCACCCCAGCATCACCCCCTGACAAACACCAAGTAACACCCCAGAGTGATGTGACTGCACACACACAGCCCTCAAAGGCCACACAAACCCCACCACCGATACCCTGGGGTGAAGATGGAAGCTGTGAAGAAGCCCCAATCCCAGGAGAGGAGCACCCTAATAAATCAAGGAGCTACCAGATACTTGTTAAAGGCAAACAAATCTCAGCGTTTGACTCCAGAAGGTGGGGAAAAGATCCCCCAAAATCATATCTGGTGCTTACCTACGTATCTCCCCCCAGGTTTAATGACAATGGCGCTCCGGCTGCGAGTCTCCTCCTCGGCCTGTGCCATGCTTTGCCTTGCCTTCTGGTAGGAATCGTCCGTCGCACACACGGTGATTTTATCCTGGATGCTTCCCAGGCAATCCAAATGGATATTGCCATTGCTGCAGAACAACCACAGAATCATCACAGAATGGTTAGAGTTGGAAGGGACCTTAGAAACCATCTAATCCCACCCCCTGCCCTGGGCAGGGACACCTCCCACCAGCACCAGGTTGCTCCAAGCCCCCTCCAACCTGGCCTTGAACCCCTCTCCAGGGATGGGGCAGCCCAGCAACCTGGGCCTCACAGCAAAGTTCTTCCCCAGATCTCATCCAAATCTCCCTTCTTTCAGTTTAAAAGCCTTAAAAGAAAGGCAATGGAAAAGGCACTCCCAAAACTGCAAAGTGCACAGCTCTGTCACTGGGGCAATAACTGAGGCTGTGTTATCTAAATAACAGGAGAGGCACTCCCAAAACTGCAAAGTGCACAGCTCTGTCACCAGGGCAATAACTGACCTGCGTTATCTAAACAACAGGAGGGGACAGAAAGAAGCTGAGAAAGGTAAAAAGATTATTCCATGAGTGCCTCCTTACCCAAACTGACACACACAAACAGATTAGAGAGACTCTAAAAAGAAAGCACACCTATTAAGTTTTGTTCAAGTTTGTCAAGGGAAAGATTCTACAGAAGATAAGGTTAAAAAAAAAAAAGGCTAGGTTTTCTTTCGCTGTACCACTCACCTAGATACATACTGCTGGATACAGTCAAAACTCCCTTGGGGGCTGTCCTTGCCAATATTTGAAAGATAAAATGTGAAAGTCCGCACTTCCGTGGGTCGATCAGGCCTTGGAATTGCGATGTGCTGTTTGGAAGGAGGAGAAAAAAAAAAAAAGAATATATTGGTCACTTGTGTAGCCCACACTAACACGAAATTCAGTTTTTCCTGCAGTCACTGGGCTTTTAGCCATTTTGTAACCTGCTCCGAGTAAAGCACGTGGATTCCTGCACAGGAGACTAGAAAGGATTTGAGTTAGCAAAATTCTATGCACTGAAAACATACAATAACAGAGGTGGAGAGATGTAAAGGAGAGCTAAAATGTCAGCTACGTCTGCAACAGGACAGAGATCTGAGCCGGCCGCTTGCTGACTTTCAAAGGGGAGCCCACAATAATCTTGTTCTAGGAATCTGACCCAATTCTATTGATTCAGGCTCAGAACGGACTTGCTACCACTGTTTATATTCAATTTAAAACACTTGAGGCTTGTTTCTTTAGAATTAGTGATCCAGCACTAAACATAGTACAAGCCAGGTCACTAGGTAGCATGCTTATTCTTTTTTAAGAGATTATAATTCCATAACGAGATTTCATGGCTCACGGTTGAGTGTGACGCTGCTGCTAAATTAAATATTTAATCAAGCATTAAGTGTGCTCTGCAGACGACTCCACAGCAATCTGCATTGTTTTTTTTTTTTTTCTCTCCCCTCCCCATTCATTTATCAAAAGGGAAACTGCTTCCCCTCCGCCTTCAAGATCCGACAGAAATCTCAGCACGCCAGCTCTTACTATCACATCAATATTTGATAATTAAGATGGCTTCCAGAAAACGAGACAGGAGGAACATCAGCTTCAACCTATTTTTAGGCTGGGCTCTACCACACGGGTTTATATTTACCCAGATTGCCACATATATGCACAAAATATATACGCCGAGCAAACCAGCCCGTGGCATCCGCGTGTGACTGTGCTCCATGAAAGGCCGGTGCTGGTACAGGAGGGTTTTTAGGTGGTTTCCCTTCAACCTCAGACATCCACAGCAGCCTGGAAACCCGGGTGCATCGGGGCCACCCTGCTAAACCACAGGGATGTGCTCAGAAGCAGCAGAAACGCCGCCGTGACCCTCATCGAGCTGAACCAGCCCAGAGTTTTCCACGTACCCTCCGTGAAGACCAGCTCTATCCTCCAGCCAGCCCTCAAAAAACAGACCTCCCCTTCTTCTGAACGACCAGAAAGAGACTCGAGGGATACAGAAGGATGGGTTAGTGAGAGAGGGCACAAACCCCTCTTCGCCTGGGTTTGGGAGATGATGCCAGATCTCTGCTGACTGGGGGAGGATGAGGAACATCCCCTGTGGCCATCGGTAGCTGGACCTCTTGAGATGAGCTGCTGACCAGGGATAGAAATGGGTCCTGGGCTGGAGACAAACCAATAATTTAGCCTCAAGCCTTTCTTTGTGATGTTCTTGACCTGGTCCAGAGAGATGGAAACAGTGACGCAGGTAGAAAGGGAGCTTTAGAAAGGGGGGGGTGTAGAGAAGCGGGGGTCGGTCTTGTCTCCCAAGTCACAGGAGATAGGACAAGGGGAAATGGCCTCAAGTTGCCCCAGGGGAGGTTTAGATTGGATATTGGGAAACATTTATTCACAGAAAGGGTTATCCAGCATTGGAATGGGCTGCCCAGGGAAGGGGTTGAGGGACCATCCCTGGAGGTGTTCAAAAGATGGGTTGACATGGTCCTCAGGAATATGGCTTAGTGATTTTTTTATTGCTTATTTATTTTTTTGTCAGAGTTAGGCTGATGGTTGGACTAAATGATCTTTAAGATCCCTTCCAACCTAGATGATTCTATGATTCTACATGGCCAGAAGCCCACCTTAGTCCCTGCTCTGGGCAGGGGGGAGAGCTGGGTTGAGGTAGGACACCTGCAGAAGGCAATGGAGACATTGTGTGCTTCTCCAAGGGTCTGAGATCCTCCTTCAGCTTCCCAGGGAGTGCGTGGGGCGAGCTGTATCCCAGGATGGGGATCTAAAAATACCTGGGAGAAGACCTGGTGGCCATTCGGGCAGCGCTGACCCCCCCGGCGTTGGCCGAGCCCCGTTATCTCCCTCTGCCAAACGAGTGCCGCAGCCTTGAGCCCTTAATCTGTCCCAGCACCCTCTGCCCCCACCCCTCTGGAGGGAATAAAATTCTCTTCTGCTTTACAGGCTGGCTGAGAATATGCACAAGGTGGCAGTTATGTAAACAGGAGATTCCAGGGTATTTTACAGTTGGCACCATCAAATCGCCAGGAACGGGGCAAGAAGGTCAACGGCAACGGGGCCCTTGAGCTCCCTGCACAGGTTTGGAAAATAAAATCTGGAGGATGTAACCAAAATATATATATATAATATTTTTTTTTCACATCCTGAAATAACTTACTTCCAGCTTATCATTTACCACTGTAAAAAAAACCCAAACAACAAAAACCAACAACAACCAGCTGCTCCGAGAGCCCAAACTTCAGGATTTTTGGAGTTTCTGCACCTTCTTCAAAGGACATAAAAGGAGACAGGAACCAGAGAGACACTTGAGCGTTAAATGGTGCTCGTTCCAGTACTGAAAAGTGTAGCATATGCAAACCGGCCGTTATCTAGGAATTATTTATAGCTGAAACAGAAGGTTTCTCAAGCCACCAAATCAGCATGGTAACTGCTTTGAGGCAGCCCTAATTTTGGTGCCGAGTATTACAGCAGTAACCATAGACACTTAAAAATAGCTCCCTACAGATGTGACTTCTGGTTTTGTGTGGGTTTTTTTTTTTTTTTTTCTCTCTTCCCTCTTTCAAGTAATACTCATCTGTGTACGGCTCCTTCGGAACGGCAATTTCACCTTCCCCTATTAATACCAGCACAAGTTCATCCCAAGAAACGGGGGGGAAACGTCATATTTTCCAATCACGTCAAAGTTGAGGCATCTTGTTCCTTTTAAGTCACATTTAAGAAAGTTGCAGGAACACACGTGTAGTTGGCACCTGAAGGGGTTTTCTTTTTTCCCCTCCCCAGTTCAGTTCTTCCCCCCCCCCC